TTAAATATGAACACTGGCTGACTACCTCGCGTTTATATGGGGTGTATAGGTAGATCCTGCCGATAGCAAGCTTACAAATAATGGATCAACTTAGTATTTGAGCCTCACATTTTTTAAATCACTTACCAACTTCAGCTACAAGCACCGTTGTCGTCCAACGCTGATACACTTCGACATTTAGATATCGCCATTTTGGTAACTAGATTTACTAATTATTAATGTATAATTATTTCTATACATGTGATTTCAATGTCCAAAATACTCAAGATTTGCTGTTTTCTATATTACTTACAATAGAATAAGTAACGATATCCTCCTAGCGTCCAATGTGATTTTTATCTAATTCTGTCTGGTATAGCGCAATTGTCGCGCGTCGTATATACATATATACTACTATAAAACATATTTATGCTAGATTAGTTCTGCAATGTAGGATTATGACCAAATTAGCATGTAATTAAAATATATTTCAAAACAAAAATATGACGTTACCTGTATGCTAATTATGAACATTCAATGCGATAATAGGGGGGAATTAAAAAGTACAAATTTATCAAAAATCCTCCCTCTATAACGCTTTAAATTTTAAAGCTCTATCCTCATACATTCATTTAATATTACGTAGCATATTATGGGAGTAAGAAGTTGCATTGACATCATTTTTAAATGTTTCAAAGTTAATAAATGTTGTATTAGATAATTCGATTTGGTAATTTCTGCATCGTTCTGTTTTTTAAATGTTTCTATAGATAATAAATAATCTTTTAATAAAATTAAAACAAATAACCTCACATTCTGTCAGTAATTTTGTAATCACTTATGTGTATTAGATTTGTCGTAGTATAGCCGATATGTGTGACATGATCACGTTTTCGAATTAATTCGTAATTTTATAACAATTGATGTGCCTAAGTGTAATATTCATATTAATGTAAATGTATAATATAATAAATACATAGTTATCATATTTACTAAGTCTCGAGATCGATTTGCGAGCACAACGGCGCGTTTCGTCGGTTAAAATTATCAATTTCGTGTTTTCACTTAACTTTATGGTGATTTTTAAATATTTTTCGAGACAATAACTTCTTGAATTGCTATTATTGCAGCCTTAATTTTCTTCTAATCTTTATACATTACCTATACTCGTTGCTGTGGTTGTTTCTGTAGATCACAGATACATTTTGTGAATTAAAAAAATTGTCACATTTCAAAATAGCGGTGTACTGATTAGATACTTAATTGTCTATTAAAATTTACGTTTCATTTACCGTTATCACGTGTGATTTACCCGTGACACGTAGTAACTTACCATCATTATACACTAATAAATTAAATATATAAAATTTTAAAGCACGCCAGAGATACTTGCTTTCTTTCAATCCAGGTTTAGCAATTTTCTTTGTTTTAAAATTTGAATTTATAGATTTTAGCGACGCCGATGTTGCGGTGTTTCGGTGTACTAATTCGGTATAATATTATCTCCATGTAAATCATCATTTCTCGACGTGTACACGAATATGATGGGTAATTGGGTAGTTGTGTAGACTTGATTGTGATATCAGTAAACATTTTCATACGAGCATCCAACAGTTGTTTTATTTGTGGACTCTGCTATCTCCCGCTTTGGAACATTAACGTATCTATTATGTACTCTGTGGTAGTATTTGAACGAGGATCAGAAGATTTATGAAGTATTACATTTTTGTTTCCATTACATCTTGAAATTTTATATTATACGTGATGGAGCCATGCTGCAGTTATATTATAGTTGTAGCACGAACAGATCGGTTCCACCGGGGAAGAACCACGCTCGCAAAGAATACTAGCCTAATGCTGCTGTTTTGTATGGTTGTACGAGGACACTTTTTACTGGAAATGAGGCATTCCATCTTAATTCTCAAGGGGGACAAGCGACAACGCATCATAATTTCGATTCATAATCGTGGATAGATGTAGATGTCTATGGGCCACGGCATCCATTTACCATCAGGTGGATTGAGTGCTCGTTTAGTCACCCTTATTCTATAAAAACTATAATCAACTTCACTTAAGTGTTTACTTATATAGTGCGTTATAAAATTAACTTAGAATGTGTAATTCGTAATTTTTATTTATTCTTCGAGTTTTAATGTGATAAATAGAGTATAGATGTGTGTGTCGGATTTCAGTTTTGTGAAGAATCTTCAATGACTTCCAATGATTTGAGAAATAGTAACTAATTCGAAAGGAGTTTGAATAAAACAACACAGATATATGTAGTAAGCTTTCTTCAACTAATTATACTTTTTATACATTACGCAATTATAATATGGACTCGATACACAATAAAACATTTATTAGAGCAATGGCCGATTATTTACAAATGTGCGGTTGTATTCGCAACAGTTGGACGACATTCGCCCGACTCGCAAACGACCAAAGGCTTGTGAGGTTAACTTACGCTTTACAGATGTTATTTGGCACTCTCTTAAATACTTACGGACGCTGTACACTGGACACTTTAATAATATTAATAACTATTATTCGAATTGGCAAGTGACTAAACTAAAGTGACGGCTTTACAATATTACATTTTTATGTTAAAGAGTTGAACTAAAATTGTGAAACAATGAGTAGTTCCGAGTTCAGTTCGGAAGTTTTTATCATAATCTAATTATGTATTAATAAAATGTTCAGTGTACGACGCCTTTTGCCTCCGAAGCTTTTTACATTTTTTTGTTGTTGTATCCCTTACCAAAAGCGGTCGACCGACGCAGGAGTCGCCCTTACAATAAATACACTTTTGTTCTGTGCTTTTTATTTACAGTGCCGCAACATTGGCCGGTCGACCGCCTTCAAAACTTCACATCAATCGCAATCAAGCAATCAACACAGCGCACTATATTAATTAACATTATTAAATATTCTGATGTATTAAATTGTTTCTCATTTGCTCTCCAACAGGGATACAGACAGGGTTTTTGTAGTTACTAGTAAGCTGTAACCAACTCTATTTTAAACAAACAATTAAACTTGACAATTGCGTACAGTTAAATTATGTTCTGAGATCATATTTAATACATCACAGGTGTTAAAGAAAAATATATTAAATTAAATATTAAAAAGATCTGCGCAGTGTGCCTCGAGTTATACAGCTAATGTTGTTATTTTCGAATTAAAATATGCCATTGAATTTTGAAATTGTATTTAAAACATGTAAATGTGACATGCTGACAAAATTGGTTTGAAACACTATGAAATTGTTCTGATTTTATAAACTTAATTACTAGAATCGAATTAAAAATGTAGCACACTCTTTTCTTATTATCTCTTGATGATAAAATGGCATCGGATTTCGCCACATCCATAATTTGGCGCGTAAAATCTTACACATTTGTAAACCATTTTATATTAGTGTAATCTCAGAAACGGAGGAGAAAATGTGTTTCATATAAATCCTTGTCTGAAATCGATATAAGAATTTGAGGCAAGTATTTATATGATTTGTGGGTATTTTAGTATTACATTAATTCAGAGAATTACATAAAAATTCTAAGATTTATATTGGGATATAGTAAGGGATATATTGTATTGTCATCTGTTACCGAGACTACACACAAACACAATTCATAAATTTTACAAACAACGTCAAAATTTCTTACAGACAATAAACCATCTTAATCTTCTCAGTGATTACAAATACAAAGATAAATACGTCTTTATAACAGGCATTGTATAAATAATGTCCTCTCGATATTGTCAAATCGTCAAAAGTTCATTATGAAATTTCATTAAGCCGAAGCCTGGTCAGAGTAAACTTTGGTTGGACCGCTACGATTGAACCGCCACACAAAAAACAAAGAAACTAATCGAATGAGTAGGATGAATTTATGAAAATGAAATGTCTTTTAAAAAGTGAACCGCGGCCCTCCTACCTAAATTGAAATGAAATAATTTGTACTTTCACAGGACCGCGATCGCTATAGAACATTTTGTAGATAATTTTAAAGAACGCTATTGTGCGTCGAAACAACGATAAAACGTTTTAGACATCCTATATTAAAAAACAATCCTTAATATAATTATAAAGAATATAATCCATTATAATACAACAACAAAACAAATATACTAATTTGCAATAGGTGTTACATGAAACTTGTTAAAACACAAATACTCAATTATTATATTAAAACTGTTACTAACTTATTAAATAATATTGGCAAAATAAATTTTAATTCTGTTACAGACGAGTAACAAAACTATTTCCGTTTGAGTATTTGTATTTTTCCTATGTTAAGCGTTTCGACTTCGCTTTCCTTGTTCATTTTTGGGTCCCCTCCGCAGTTATAGGAGGTGGAGACGCAAAGATTCGCCACCGCTAACAAAACCAACGCGTTAAAAATGCTCCAGCGCAGTTCGGCTGAAATTTAATTCCCGCCAGCGTTTTAGCATTTTCGAGGCGCCTGTTATTGCTACTTTGGACACACAATTTCCGAACAAAATCCAAAACTTAATTCCGACATATCTAACCCAATATAACTACCGTTTAACCTAATATAACTTAAATAACGTGTCAAAGAGATCATAATAAACTTAAAACTACGTCACACTTCAATAATATTGCATTTGTGGGAATAATTTTAGTATCGGATACACGAATTTATTTGCTGCATGCATTTGAGCAAAATTTGGCTTTTGTGATGTATCGAGTGACAGGTAAACTAACGAATATATTATTAATCAATCATACAGGCGTCTTAAAGTATAATGGTTGAAATTATCTTAGAGATTACTTAATTTAAATTTCGACCGCGTGGCGGGGACGCCGTCGCCGCGGACGTTGAATAAATAAAGTGATATAAAATAAATTTGCACATTGCATCTCAAGGGCACCCGCCCGTGAACCGAACGCGACAGTTCGTCGATGATAGCATTGCACAGTGATTGCAGCTGCCGGCAGCTCCAGGTTCAAATTGCAGTTCGTAGCTCGGTTTGTGGCGGGTGTTTTCCGGCGCGGTCTAACTGGCGCGCTTGAAGTGGGTCTGGGTGAGTCGCGCCACCTTCGGCGGGCGGATGTGCGCCCCGTGCCCGCACTCGTGTTTGTGCACGGATGGGGACTTCTTCCCGTTGCCCGATAACCTCTTCCGAGGTTTGAGGAAATCTGGAAAGAAATAAAGACTCACATAAGTATAGATCATTATTACCAGCCGTAAGGGATTTTACGGCACTTCACTTGCCAATGTCCCAAAAGACTAGGGAATTGTACCAGTTACGTTACATTAAGATCGTCGTAAAATCTAAGTTTAAGGTGGGGCTGGTCCCCGAACGATTTGAATATGTGTAAGGTTCGTAGGGACACTTGTATGGTGCGCAGCGAGGCGAGGGTCGTTTGATAATTTTACGACTCCATCCAAAATAATAAAACTATAAAAAGTATTTTCAAACTAGGATAACCAGGACTAAGTGTAGAATCTAAAGTTTATAGTTATATTTGTCTGACGAAGTTTTATTTACATGCTTGTCATGTGTAGTATATAAACCTATGAGAACCCATTGCCTTTAACCAAATTTCTGGCCATGGTGGTCGTAGGTGTCGGCTAAGGTAAATGACAGCAAGATCTTTTTGCCATCGATAGATGACTGCATCATTTCTAAACACAACTATTTCGGGTATGTAATACCTAATCTAAAATAGTCAGTCAGGTGACGAAAAGCTGTTTAATTAAGTGTGCGTGTGTGCGTCTGTTACTGCGATTATATAAACTTATCAAAGTTATGTGATACAATTCAACTCTTTTGTAAATATTGCGATAAATAATTAACGTCTTGATTAACGATTCTTTGGCAATATTTATGTATGAAAAATAAAACAATGTCCTGTAGAGAAAATACTGAAAGGTTACCCTACTTCTTACACACTTAATGTACCAAAATCCTTTCAAAATTCGGCGCAACGTGTATTATGTGACCGTTTTTAATTTTGTAAAAAAAAATTAGACCTTAATAACTATAAAAGTTTTACGATCTTTTTACTACTGTTTAATCTGTGTTATAAATTATCGAAGGCTGAATTACTGTTAGTAGTACGCGGCGTGTTTACAAACCGCCCCGTAAGTACGAAGTTCATGAGCGTGCACCAGAAAGGCGATTAGATAAAACGTATCGCGTACCTCCTAGTGGAGAACTTGTGAACTTGAATAATGTTTTTATATGCTAAACTGTTTATAAATAATATTGGATATGCATAACAACAATATAGAATATTCTAGTGCAATGTTTTTTTGAATTGCAATTTTATCAATAATTTATTGAATGCCGTACTTATTGCGTGTTTAATCAATTGCTTTTCTTTAAATTTAAAAAATAATTTTATACACAGTAAGGTGAAGGATACGATGTCGACTTAGATGAGCATTGAATATAATTGTTTACTAATATGCTATATTAGTGGTAGTCTAGTAAGCTTCTTTAATGTTAGGATAAAAGTAAAAATCAATGTTAATATTTGAGCAGAATACCTGTTGAGGAAGCTACAATCTTGACTCGCGAGTTTGTGAAGCGATCCGTATCCACAACATAGTAGTAACACGCGATGTGCTCAAGGCCAGAGTATGATATCGTGCCTACGAATGTGATTTCTACCCAGAACCAGATATCTATTAATATGTTAAGAATTTTATAATATTCTTGTGCCGAGATTTGAACATTTTGATTCACGTTTTAGAATGACAATCATAATTTCACATTTACTTATAGGTTTTCCGATTCATTTGGTTTAAATTATAAAAAAGTAAATATCTAGGTACCTAATAACGGAATAGTTATGGCACTGGTATGCTTTCGTATGACGATTAGTAAACGATCACTAAACATTAAAAAAATGATTAAAAGTAATATAAATAAAAAATTATTAGTTTACGTCTATGACGCGTCGTGGATTTTTAGATAACAATGATAAAGTAAAAATGAGCATTGGACACAAGAACAAAAGTAAAAAGACGAACTAGGTAGAGTCTAGTTTTCTTCAGTCACGGGAAAAAAGCGAACAGAATATCTATCAATACAAACTGCTTTGTGAAGCGTCCCCGTCATCGTATTAGACTGAACCACGGAACCACGGCATAAAAACTCCAACGTCGGTTGTGCAGTCGAGATCGAGAATTATGTCAGTGACGCTGGCGTCACAAGCCTCAAGGTCGACTGGTGGACCACGCCGACCTCGCATCAGTTCCCGCCAAATGTGAACACCACGTGGAGATATTAATATAGCACGCTCTTGTGGTATTACTTAGTGGGTTAGGTTCTAAACCAAGCCAATAACAAAGACGTAACATATCATAATATATTATACTATAAATAGCCTTCGGTTTTTTATGTGTATTATTATATAATACTACATTAGTATAACAGCCTATCATGTGCCATTTCGTAACCACGATAAAAAGGTTTCGAATGATACTAGTATTATCAATGAAATCTATTATTTAATAAACTCAAAACTCTAGGTTAGTGCATATTATTATGTCTAGGCACTAAGTCATTTAGAACTTAAACCAAAGAGTATATTATCTATAAACCACAATGATTAACTTAGACTGTGACTAATGTTACACAACAGGAAAAATTAAGCACGTTATCAACCCTTACAAATATTTAAGTATGTAATCTTATTTTCAAATCAATGAGGCGATAAAATTCTAAGTCTAATCTTTGATTATATACATGATAAATCATAATCAAATGTTGTTGGTTATATAACTGAAAACGTGGAAGAAATTTTAACCTAGGAATGAAGCTAATGACCTGAGAACTATTTTCATCAATGTCGTAACAATGTTAAAGTAAGAAATAGAGTCACCACATCAAAACAGAGAAAATACTTTCACGTGATTACACTATAGTTTCCCGCCAAACAATCAATGAAGCGTTTCGCGCCATTTCTCGCTAGGTCTTACGCGACCAAAACAAAAATGAGTCACAGAAGAGTGGATTGTTCTGGAGGGAAGAAGACACATTTACTTGGTCGGCTTATACGCTTAAATCGGACTCGCGTAAACATGCGGGTGTGCGTAAACAAAATGGCCTTGGGAGATCCGCGCGTGCGGCTAGCATTGCCACGATGATTCTGTACAAACAACTCACACGCGCTCATTTAAGTTGTAAACGACGACGGAATATTTTATCGTGTTTAGGGTAATACTATTACTACTATTAATTAATACACATCGCAATAAAAATAATCAGCAGTAAAAAATATTATCATGATATAATAATGTATGGTTTATAAATCCTAAGTCGGCGTTCATTAATTGGTGCTCAATTTTGGCACTGATAGTTTTGATCGATTATAGTTTTTGCAATATTTACAATTGAAGAAAATCGTGTATGATTTTCGCGATTAAAGCACGAAACAAGGTTACATTGCAAACGACAGTAAAATAGTCCAATTTTATTGAACAAGCGCGGAGGGCCACGGTTATTTTAGTCGACCTAAATATCTGCGCGGGCGCACGTCGCCCTCTTGCTGGTATAATTCACTTGTTTACCGCTGGCACTCAAACGATTTACACATAGAATTATTATATGGTTTTAAAGCATAATAGACACTATTATGTTCGTTAAACACAATATTTTGTAAAAGTTTGTGTAAATCATAGTATGCGATTGATATAACAAAAAAGTGCTTTTTTTATTTTTTTATTTTTGAGATGCTAATAATTATTCATGTGGCAAAGACGGGAGCTTGTGCCTGCTTTTGTTGCAACATTTCAAAAATAAATGTGAAATGAATGCAATGCACGCGCTACGAAGGCTGCGGACAAGGGATACATCCGTCTCGTCTTGCCATAACACGACTAGAATCCTTGAGTAATGTCAAAAAAAGGATAAGGTTAATCAAAAAGAAACATGAAGGATCTCGCATAGCGTCAAATTAGCTTTTTTCTTGAGTCACGCTTTTGAGACGAGAGCGTAAATGTTTTTGAAGTAATTATTCGGGTGTTATTTATCATTATGTCCTTTGACAAACGCCGCTATGGTATGAAAGTGAGGAAACAACCCTCGCTACTTGAATAGACAATTTGCTTTGAAGCATGTCGTATGGGAACATTGTTTTTTTTATTACTGGCAGTGTATGGTAGAGCTTAAAACATACCCACTAAAATTATCCCTGGTAAAGCGAAATATAAAATGATTCGTTATGCATACTCAGTCACTCTAAACTTTTGCTTGGGAAAAATGACTTATTTTCTGTAGCCCTAAGAATTGGGAAGGAAGCATAGCGTAGCGTGCATGTCATCTCAATTTTAGAAATCATAAATATTCGCCATTATGTAATTAAAATATAAATATTTTAATTACCGATTCTTAGCTATTTAGGTAATTTCTTAACGTAATTTTTCCTGTAGCTGAGAACGATAACCTCCAACCAAACAAAGTATTTAGCAGGCATTTTTTAAAACGAGACGATAAAGCTGTTTAAGATAAATGCCACGAAAGTTTATTAATAAAAACGGCTCCGTAACGCAGTAGCTAAATGATTGTTTGCTTAGCTGCGGGTCGTGGGTTTGAACCCACATATGGAACAATTGGTCTGTATGTTTGTCTGTCTTCTACGATTTATCCATGAAAAATGCGTATACAATAAAGGAGAAAATACTTGGATCCTTTTATATAACTCACCTTTTGAAAATTGCATAATATTTGTACTTTGACACCAGATGACGTATGCCATAGATATGTGGTCACGTATTTGGCTCCCAAACACGTCTAAACTTGATCGCGAGCGTTCATGATGGCTACAAGCTTAGGTGTATACGTATAATTGTATTAGGGGGGGAGGGGTCGTCGTCGGAAAAAACTGGCGTGGTTTTTCAGACGTAGGAGGCGGGCGCCCCGCCGCTAAACAGGTTGGAGCCTCGGTGCCCTAGCGCACGTTGCACTGTGTTTTATTTTATTGAGATTCATCATATCAGGGCTGTTATATTTGGGTTCTTACTTGTTGTAGGTATAGTTCATAAACCTACATTAATAATAACACGTAGTTTTATTTAAGTAATTTTCATCCAAAAGTGCAAAAATAAATGCAATGCATTGCAATGAAACGCGTGCATTGAACAGTTTTCAGCCAAAAAAAAGTCCCGCTGGGTTTCTTGCTGGTTC